CGATACCAAACAGGACCACAGGGAGATGCCAAAGACAACTACATCGCCTGACTACTATACGGATCCATTCAGAATCACTAAATCTCTGACCACCGCATAATCAGCGTTCATTATAAAACACTCTTGCATTTAAGCCAAATACATGCTGAAAATAATAATTTTACTGACATCTGGATGGACGTAAGTCACTATTCTTTCCGCAATCGCTGATTAAATCGCATTGCATTGCGCTGTTTTAAACTTACTGTTTGAATTTGTTTACTGCATCCTTGGACTTTCCAGGAGTTTACCGGTTTAAAATGATGTGATCGCAAAAGCCTGCTTCTTTTAATTTTAAGATATTATTTTCGTTATAAAGTACTGATTCAAATTAGTAATCAATAATTAATTATTATTCTACTACTAATAGACATGCTAATAGACTAATAGACTAATAGACATTATTCTGCGCCTCCCCTGACATGCTCTTGTGTGTGTGTGTGTGTGTGTTTGTGGTGTGGGGGGTTGCAGGAAGGAAGCCAACTCAACCCCCCCAGACAAGACATGGTAAGAAGAACAGGAGAATCAAGGGTTTGGAGGAAATGGAGACCAAATGTTTAATGCAACATAGAATGCTTTAAAGTTTGGACATTTCTAGAAAGGATCCGTGAAACAATTTCACAAACCAGTCATGATGGTGTTTAAACAGTTCAAATTAAAGCACATAAAGAGTAGAAATAGGCCTAGCTGGGTTTTTTTTTTTTTTTTTGATTTCCTTTAAAACAATGTAAGTGGTGTTGATGCTAAGGTCATTGTGGTTGCTTGGGTTGTTGGTAAAGTTTAAAAGCAACTTTAACTGATTTAAATTTGCTATGGTTCAATGAAAATTGGCATTGAAGGTTCAATGAAGAACCTTTAACATCCATGGAATGGTTCCATTGCACATAAAGGTTCATTATAGTGGAATAAGATGAATGGTTTTCACACTAAGAACAGTTCTTTTAAAAACTGTTCACTTAAAGTTGTTTGGGGAACCAACCCAAAATGGTTCTTCTATATGTTATTCTGGTTTCTAGATATGGCCTTTTTTTCTTTAATGAAGGTCTATGACAGTCCAAATCTCAATGCTAATCAGGAACACCTCAGTTCCAAATGAACGGGATTCTAAAGAAGAAACCATGACAAAGTCTCATTTTCAACGCTCAATTGAGATTCATTTGATATCTTCTCCTGTAACAGGTAAGGTGCTATGCCACAAAACATTTCCCAGAGATTAGCACACAATGGCAACTTCAATCCCAGCATAAGCATCAAACCAAAAGGAACAACCGAAATAACTGAGAGAGGAGAAGTGAAATTGAGAGCTTTCTCCACATTTCATAACTCTTTGAGGAACATCGCCGTTTCAAAGCCAAGAGAGCGTTGCGACAGCAGCCTCTGTCTCTACAAGCCTCCGAGTCCAATAGCAGCTGAATAATAAAGCCACTGAGAGACACCACAGAAGGTCTTTCACTGAGCCTGGATCCCAACCTGCATCTGAATGCATTTGTACATCAATTCCCTGAAATATTCATGTTCTTTGTAAAGAATTCATGTGAGGCCGTGAGGGAGCCAGTCCCTGGAGGGATAGAGCAAATCCACTAACGCAGCTACACCCCCTTTACGCCTGTGGGACGCTATTGACCGGTCTGTTCACTTAATGAGAGAAAAACTGGTTTGGTGACCATCCAGCTTGGTTTGGACAGTTTTAGCTAAGCCTTAATTAAATAAACAGTGGTATTTGTTAAGTTACATATACATTAGTGGTAGACTAATTTGGGATTTTTTTTTAAATGTGATGTTTATTTTATTTAATTTTTGATGTAGGTATTTAATATTTTGTTAATTTTGTTAATAAATATTTTATTGCTGAATAATAGGTTGATTGACAGACACTGTGGTGCTTTCAAAGCATTACATTGTTTGAGCGTCCTAATCAGCTCAACTGGTAATGTAAAAACCTGTGCTTTTCATCAACATTAGGCAATACAAAATTGCCCTTCTTCATCCTAGTCTAGAATGAAGGTGTAGCGGTGGTGGTGTGGTAATAACACACAGGTTGAATGCCACCACATGAATCAAGCATGAGACATGGTTGAGACGGTAATATTCCAGACAAAGCTATAAAACTCTGAGCTCTGCGAATTCTATCTCTAGGTACAATACCTCACCTGTCTCAATCATTGAACAGTGATGACAGTTAAGGGCACGGCTGCATGGTGGCGCAAGCTGTGAGTGTACGACCAAAAGACATTGTCATATCCGGTTAACACACCTGCGCCCTTTAGCTAACATTAGCCTAAATACTCATTGCCCAAGACCAAATGGACACATCTACCACTATAAATATAAGTGTACATGAGTGTATGGAAACTGCTGTTACAATGCCTTATTGTAGATATTTTTCATATATTTGATTCAGAAATAACAAGACAGGTTTCTTTTTAATACATTTTAGCAGTCTAAATTAGGTTATAATAATCTATAAGCCCAATGGTTATTCTAAATAACTCTAAAATCAAAATCTTTGAAAGGTTTTATAAATCTGTTTGTTCCCAAAAACCATCTAAATGCAAGACACTGAAAGGCAATATTTATGCGACTTGGAACATTAAGGCCTTAGTAGTGCAAAACAAGCATATAGTCTTCATTTAACTAATTTAGATGTATTATTGTCTATATGGATGGTGAATTGCCTAAGTATTGCCTTAATGATGAGCAATGCAAAACGGACCATGTGGATCTTTGTTCAAGAATGGCGCAAAATATTAAGGAAATTGCATCTGACTGAACCTAATTACTCATTCAGTAACACTGCAATACTGTATTTTGTTCAAAAAAACGGAAAGCTCGAATTTAGGCTATTAACTTTAAACATTAAAATATTTCATCGGTAATACTCAAATACGAAATAACTACAAATGCAAAATAATAATAATAACCAAAATAAAAACTAATACATAATAGCCTACATAAATACAATATTTAAAAGATATCACGCAGCCTATAACCTTCATTGTTTTAATCTGTTCTTAAATCGTAATTTGAGGGGCAATTTATAAACTACCTTACAGAAAACATTAGCTGTTATATGCCGAATATCCTCATAATTGTTGCCTGTCACGATTCATATTAAACCGATATGCGCTCATCTCATATTTATCAAAATCACATTTACACCTCCACAATTCAGTTCATGTAGACACAAGGATTTAAAGTCTTAAGTCTGGACTTAATCAGAAAGAATATGAGTATAACAAACAAAAAATTTAATATAGGCTTGTCTATCTATCTACGTTGGTTCTTTGTAGCGCCTAAAATAAGCAAAATAATAATACAAAATAAATCAACCTTCTCTAACCAGATTTTAGAGTAGGCTATATGGTTCTTGAATTGCTATGTGGATTCAAATGTCTTTGATGTTAGGCTATAGTTTTTTCAGAGCTGTGTGTATATATATATCATAAGAAATCCTAAACAGCCTAAATAAGCAATAATTAAATACAGGCCTAATCTAAACATGGACATTCGCTATTCTTTGAAATAGTGTGTCAAATCTTTATTGAGCTTCCACAGAAATGCCAGCGAATAAAAGGAAACGCAACAAACCTGAATGCGCCGCCATCGGTAAGTGAGATGGATAATATTTCCCGGCTGGAAAATGAGGCGCATGTTGCACAGAGCCGTGGCCGGAGGAGGAGATGCGAGAGGCGGCGCGGTGCACTAGAGTGGCCCGCTCTGAGAGGAGGTGTGCTGGAGCGGAGAAATCACGACCCTCCATTCCAAAGAAAACATCCGATATAATCCAAAATCAAGCGGAAATCAGATTAAACCTATGTACTGTAATCCGTCTGCGTTTGCTTTAGTGGAAAGCTCGCCTCTCCTGCTCAGGTTGAAGTCCTCAATCATCTTTTCTACAAAGAAAGAAAGAAAGAAAGAAAGAAGAGACGTTATAATATCGGTGTGGCACACCACCACAGCTGACATGCATCTGCTTCATGCTCGCAGTATTCGACAAACTGCGATATAAATTGAGACCTAATTTTGATGCACATTCATTTAGAGAAGAACTGCATTCGTTTTTTTAAGCGTCCATTGAAATGCGAAAGCGATGTGAAAAGGCCATAGATGGCAGTGATTGAACAGGCCTAATAGAGAGCGATCCTTTGTGTACGGATACGTGATAAAGATGCACAGTTGCACACCTTCTCTAGGTTTTAAATTGAAATAGTGTCTTCATGTTTTCTAAGTGCACGCATGCACACATATGATGGCAAACAAACGATATGAAACCAATGAGCTTGACAACAAGTGACAGTTTTTAGTTTTTTTTTTCCAGAATAATGGATGTCTCGACTTCAGCCCCGTCTGTTTTTATTGTTAGACGACTTAAATAAACCATTTACGCATTAATGGAATCTGATCAAAATTAATTCTATAGTGTTTTTAGACATGTGCATGATGTGAATGAAAAATAAAACATTGATTAGATGCATATAAATTAAATAATATAAAAAAATGTATTGTGGTATTTTATATACAACATTTTATATCATAATGTCAATATTTTGTTTTGCATAGGACAGTGGGACATGCACTTTGAATAAACATGGCATCAATTTACTTTTAATAAATAGTATACACACCAACCCATTATGATTAAATCAAAAAGGCAACAACATATAACCAGTAAATACCATTTGCTAACAGAAACCAATTTTGTACGAGTCCTTTTTGGTTTTTATTAGAATACACTGAATACACAAGTATGTGAGTGTGTGTGCGTGCGCATGTAAACAACTGCAATTTCCTTTCATCTGGTTGAACTGTTTTATGTGGAGCAATTAAATCTAACAGAACCTTGCACACAATATATATTGTGTCGAGTTCCAGCTAATATTGTGGGAATATTCATTTGTTTGATCTGTTCCCTTCAACAAGCCTTTTGTGCTCTCTCTCTCTCTTTCTGGTAGACTAGATTGCAAGAAAACGCAGAATGTCACACAATAAAGGAATGATTTCAGTGGGTTCCTTAACTGATATAGGCGGACTACTATCAATTAATGCATTTTCAGAAAATATACAACTGCAATAAATGCAGTGTTTTCCGCTGTAGCAGGCCATGCATACAAACCAAGGTGGCCTTACAGCAAGCAGCTTTTGTCTCCTCCGTGTGAGGACTGCTGCTCTCCGTCAGCCATTACCGTGCAGCTCCACAACAGCCGTCCATTTCGAGCACACAACATTCAATCACACACTGCATGCTTTGTTTTCTCAGCTTTTGCATGCAACTGAATACTTAAATGCATTGTATCGGCATCCGAATCGTGAATGTTGTTAAATATTTGCATAATTCCGATGCAAATAGCAGTTGCTTTTGTCTCGTGCATGACAATGCATATAGTGAAATGCTAGACAATGTGTCTTTATATATCAAAGTGAGCGAAAAGCACGAGTCAGCTGGCTATCTTTTGTTCATAGAAGACAGAAACTCACAAAGATAATAACATTATTTTTTTATAGCTTGTCTGTCGGTAATGTTATTCGGCTGGGAGACGAATTTCAGTGAAACGAGCCTGTCTCATGCCGATCCGAAATAAATCAGAATTGATCATTACAAATAAGTATTGCCCAGCGAAGAAAAACACCGATCTGAATATGATAATAAAGGACAACTGGAAATTTGGATGGTGCACGTTTCACTTTTATTTTTTTCCTTGTCATGTTTCAAATCTGGCACTGCGATGCAATATCTTGAGAG